AATAACAATTTGTCATACTCTGTGGTTACTGTACACGCAAAATGAAAACTGAAACTGGCAATTATGTGGTTTGTAGTAGTAATTATGCAATTAGCCGATAATTGCCGAATGGACCCGAAAATTGCCGATAGGGGTCAGAATTTATTGAAGAAAACCGAAATCGGATAAATGAATATGAATTGATATATGGAACAAGCCCGCCACAACCTTCCAAAACCGCTGCAACTCCTGTAAGCCAGTATCCACAGTAGATACAACCATGAAAACACCGGAATACTGAAGTCCAACGCGTCCCAGGGACATGAATAACTGTCTTGGTTCCCGCAATGAAGTGAATCTGAAGATAATATAAGAGGAGAAGAAGAAAAAACGATAATTTTCACTTTCCTCGGTGAATGGAAAGAATACGAATTATTGTCATGAATTTTTATCCCCGAAAGAGAAGGCATCTCAGCATATAATCATTATGAGTTCCATATTAGGAAGAGGTAAGTAAGCCTACCGAACTCATTTTCAGAATGTATATTACACACAAGATATTACACACAGAGATTATAAAAAAAAAACAAAATCTCCAATAGTATTTTGCCTTTTTAAGACATCCAATCGTACTTGCAACTACTCACTTAACGCAGAAACGGGCAGAACAATGCAAAATGAGTAAAAAATCATAAATAGAAGACGAAAATCTGCTATGGAGAGTCACGAGCTTTACCAAAAATCCACGGAAATTGCCAAATGGTGTCGAAAATTGATATTGAGGAAACGAAATGTAGCAAAAGACCGGGTAACGTAAAGATACAGGTAAGTAAAATTTATTGCTAAAACGTATATTTTATGGAAGCTAACTTTAGTCTATTTTCTCAAAAAATACGAGGGGTGATTTACAATCTAATAATCTTAATGAAAGGCCCATCTTAACTGTACAAAACTAACAAAACTTTTCAGAGCTCGCAACTACAAAAAAAAATCGATGCGCGATGATGACGTCAGAGTACAGAGAAGGCAGTAACACTGTATGATAAACCTTAATTAAAACTTTTTAACTGCAATCTTACAATTGCTTGTCAAGTAGGTATATTATGACAAACCTTTTTGTCTAAAAAGGCTCATAATATGCTTGGAAAGTGGACGAATTGTTTGTAGACTCAACCATTTAAGTTTTCCTTTCTACTCAGTGTAAATAATCTAACACTTTTAGCTTATCAAAGCCCTTTGCTTTATAAAAGCGGCGAAAACCTTCTAAATGGGCCAAATAACTGATTTCGACCTCCTTTTATCAACTATAAGTGTTTAGTGAGTGGTTTTAGTCCAAGTACAACCATTACGGGAGTTTCTCTAGAAAAATTTATTATGTTTGGTACTAAGTACCTATGTTTGGTCGTTTTTAGGTTAAGTGCGGTCGGAAAACAGTTTCTTTTCTGTATTAGGATTGTTCATTGATGTAAGGAAATAAATTATTGTTGATAGCTCTCGTCGATAGCAATGTTTTCTTATAACATATTGGATTATGTTTAGGTACAATGAGATTGAGTCGGGAGTTTGTGAGAGATGAGTGCTTTTTAGGGATATTTATGTATGTTTTTGCAAATTTAAGTAACTTGAAAGTGTAACGAAGAGTTCTGTGACACTTGTAGTGGATTATTGAAGGCAGATCAGCAGCTGTAGCCAAATGCCATTTAGCGCTTGTCTACATGTAGAATAGAAAACCAAATCATAATTATGGAATTGACGTAAATTTTGACACTTGTCAGTGTCATCCCCATACATTTTGATTTCTACTCTCTCTGTAGACAAGCGCTAAAGTGGCGTTTGGCTAAAGGCACTGGTCAGGAAAGAGAAAACGTTGTAGACTTCGAATCACATGTTGATTTAGAAAAGGAGCATAAAATCTACATACAGAAAAGCTCTCTATTGTGTATTAAAATCTTTTTCGATTGTGAAGAGTATATGTTAGATTATCAATATGTTGTACTTTATGGAGAACTAAAAAGATATGGCATTATGTTACGTCATGATAGGACGGATGGAATGTGCAATTTTAAGTCGCGGTTGTATAATATAATTGGATACTTTCCTCAATCAGAAATAAATTATTTCGACTGCTCAATCTACTTAATATAATATTAAAAAATAATCACACTTTCATTAATTATATAATTAGTATAACCAACTTAATTTATTATTTTTCTAGCAATTTTTGTAAAAAATAAATAAGCTGTATGACGCTAAAAAAACTGTCGTTATATATAAAAAACTGTCGTTATATATAAAAAAAACTGTCGTTATATATATAATAGAAAACTGTCGTTTTTTGACAGTTCGAAAAAAGTATTGAATTTGATTATTTGGCAAGTACCCAAGTCTGTCACTACAAGCTCTTTGTAAAGTGACAGGGATGGCACGTAATACGTATTTTACAACTAATCAAATTCAATACTTTTATTCGTGAACGTCGAAAACTATATTGTTCTACGAATTTTGTACCAAAAACTAACCTATGACGTCATCATATTTTCGAGTCAAATAGCACACTTATTTCTGAAAAAATTGCTAGAATAAATCGAAAATTAAGTTTATCGTCAAATATATAAACGAAATTGTATTTATTTTTGAATATTTAATTGGATTGAAAAATCAAAATAATTTATTTTTTGACCCAGGAAAATACCCAATTAAAGTACAACTTCAATTTGAATAGCCTTTTAGCATTCGCGCGTTACTTCGTCTTTATGGAAGAAGAGAACAGATTTAATTACCATAATTATGTAAATAATCTATAATATATTGACACGTACCCATTACACTCTGACAGGCATAATGTATAATAGAATATGACACAGTACGTCATTCACTGTAGCACGTGTACTCGACAGTCACGGCTACTGATGTCGTCACAGTATTGTGATGACGGAGATGCAAATGATATGCATAGGCTTTTAATGATTTTGTTATCGTGTTTATGAAGAGTATGAAAAGCTTGTTTGATAGAGGAGGTAGTTTCGAAACGAAATGATGAAATGGTATGTACAGAAAAAAGGTGGCCTGGTAGATATCGCTTTTAGATAGCGATAAGCCCGCCTTTGTAACCTATTTTCTTTCATTTGTAGCTCGATATACTGTCTCAAATTCGTGTGCAATAAAGATTATTATTATTAATGATATTTATTTCTGCAAATTTAAAAAAAAATATCACGTTAACCGTTAAATTACTATATGAGGGCCGGCATTTCCTAACTGACAATTCTGAAGAAACGCCGAAACAAACTCAGAGGTCATTGTCTCTTTTAAAGTTCAGACAGATTATAACTATAATGTGTGAGAACCGTGCAAATTGATTCTGGACTGGCCGTTTGAGGAAGAGGTACACATTATGCCACTGTACAATGTAACACCCACTTTTCACTATTTATGTTATGAGTCCCACGTAATAGCGGAGAATTTTTTTAAATCCCAGTAATACTTTGCCGACCCGGGAATCGAACCCGAGACCCCTTGTCCGGCAGTCACACTTGCGACCACTCGGCCAACGAGGTAGTCCGAAATCCCTTGCTTGACAATTACAACTGATTACTGAACTTTAATACATAAGTCGATTTTGAAGCAGACCAATGTTTATCAGGTCAGCTACTAAGTAGTAATTAATACAATAATCAAATTACATTAGCTACAAATTATGACAGATAGACGTGACACACAAATGTCACATTATGGCCGCGGCTTGCGTGTGACAGCTGTCAGCGACATAGATGTATAATAACGATGGAATGACACGCGGTAGTAACGATACATACGTCCTATGTCTGTTCCGTGTAATTTAGATCTGTGTGTTCAGCTTATGAAGATTGTTATTTGGTTTTTATATTAACATCTGCGTTGAGGATTTATTTCAAAAAGGGTTTATGATTGCCTATATGATAAACGATCACAGTATGCATACTCTATATATACATAATATACATACTTATCTAAGTAGATATGCAATACCAGAGAACTGTCTCTCTGTCTGTACAAGTAAGTTGCGACCCATGTAGAAACTAATTGGTTGCATCATAATTTTCATGGATTCTAATTCCTAGTTTAGAGAGGCAGTAATAAAATTTTTATGTTTACATTTTATTAAAACCAATAGAAAAATTAGATGAGGACTTTTTTCTTGAAATTAAATTTGGGTTTATAGTGATTTGCATCATAATAACTAGTGATTTTAAATGTGTCAATTCCAGAATTTACCAGATTGAACGCTAAACGTACGAAAAACGCGTAATCAAATGAACGTTTGAACCTGAATATTAACGTAAAAATCATTCTAAGATTCGCTAAAGCGCAAAAGAGTATTTCAAAATATCTGTACTGGCAAAGTATAAATAAAATGAGACAAATGATATTAAACGCCTACATTACAGTACATGGAAAATAAAAAAAATAGTAAATATTTTAAAAAAATGTATCAAGTACAAACCATTTTTATTTTTGCTACTGTCCGTTTTATCTAAAACAAAATATCAGTTAGTTATCTATAAGTTTCTATAGATAGTGAATTTTAAACATAATTTTATTGAAAAATTGCTAGGAATTTTGCAAAGTTCATGCTAAGATGCTGGTCATGCTTTGGTATTCACGCATGCTAGATTTTTTAAAGCAAATCCTAGGTTTCATGCTAGCGTTATGATTTAAATATTTTTATATGTATTTTTATTATTTTCTAAATGAAACGGACTGGTGTAGTGTTGTAAGTACTAAAAATTAAAACCAAAAAAAAAATGAATATTATTTTATTTCTTTTTTTCGGGCTATTAAAATACTTTTAAAAAGGAAAAATGTAATATTCGATGATAAAAAAGTTTTTTAATGACATCAAGTGAGACGATGTACCAGGGCCGCATAAAACGGGGAAAGTTTAATCGTAAAAAAATTAACGGTAAAATAAATTAACGGTAAAACGGTGTTCGGGAGTGTTCGGGAGTTGTCGGTGATGTTCGGTAGATTAAGTGGCTCACCCAAACTTGCGTCGTATGTGTTCATGTACTCTGACGTCATGAATTGAGACACTAAAGCTGTCTTGCCTACGCCAGCGTCGCCGAGTAACACCACCCTGTATTTTGGTATCTGTAACAAAAATAAAATATTATTATATTAGGAGTATATATAGTCTTATACCATAATGAAATAGCAAGAGTATACTTCCTAACCAATTATTCTATATAGACTTTAAGTACATACAATTATCACCATTCTATTTATTATTGCTCCTCTGGTATTACAGGTTCATTGGTGGCGCCGATTGCTTACCATTCGGTGCCCCATCTGCTCATTTGCCTTATATTCTATAAAAAATGTAAAACATGATGAATCTATTAGCATTTAACGTGCAAAAATTCAGTCCTCGAACCGATACTGAGAATTTTGAAAACCAAACTCGACAGGACATCAACAGTCATCCTTTCACAAATCCGAAAAACATTGCAAATAATATTTTACATATTCCATTTTTTTCTTCCTGTATTGATTTAAGTGGTTTTTGTATATGTGGATACGTCAACCCCATCGCACCTTATTTAATGTACTGGACTGCACGGTTGGTAGGCAACCGGCTGCCGTTCCCGCACGGAACAACTCTTTGTGTGATCCACAAAATAGTTGTTTTGAATGTGGGTGTCATGTGTATGTGAACTTGTATGTTTGTAAACGCACCCATGACACAGGAAAAATGGTAGTGTGGGGCAACGTTTAAAAAAAAAATAATAGCATATAATTATCTACCCTATGCAAGTGAAAGAGAACCAATAATTAGGTTTTTTTTTTGGGGGGGGGAAATCATCGAATGACTGCTCCCGCCTGGGTGAGGCGGGAGGAACTGTCAGACTCTTACTGACTAAAAACCACCCCGTTCCTTCTCCTGCACGTTGAGCCGGAGCCCCGGTTACCCGTTAGGTTCTCCACGACAATGTAGGTGGTCTAGATCGTAGAAAAGTTATGTCACCCTCACCAGTTCACACAACTTGACACAACCGTAAAGTAATCTTCGTTTTAGACTCTTTAAATCCAGAAATCAACAAAATACATTTTACTAACAATAAAAGCCACTATCATTACTTTCATTGATGAACCAAACAATAAATTCAATAGAATCCTCGTCCATATTGTTACAATGAAATCAAAGCCATTCAATTAACTTGATAGAGCAATTTGATAAATAAACTGAACAACGGATGTATAACCATTATATCAACATGGATTACTGAATAGATATATTATGTACATATACATATGTTTTGCAAATGGCTTGTTAAAATTGTATTAGAGTCGTTATAGAGAACGTACATAGTACCTTTTAAACTGTCAAACACCAAGCGGTCACCGGTGACCGCAACCTATTGTTCTATAATTGTGTCTATAATGACGGTACTCGACGAGTTAAACCTTGTTAGGTTAATTAGAGGTATATATCATTACATAGTATAAAACAAAGCCGCTATCCACCGCCTGTCTGTCCCTATGTATGCTTAGATCTTTAAAACTACACAACGGATTTTAATGCGGGTTTTTGTAATAGATAGAATGATTCTTAAGAAAGGTTTATATGTATAATATATGCATGATATAGAAGAGGAACACTGATACATTTAGAGGTTTCTTATATGATATCGTAAATAATTACGTTTTTTTGCGCTTACATTGCAAACGCTTGTTGAACCCTACAAAATAGACCAAAATAATGTACTACAGTATTGTTCACCTTAATTTTCTTATGACAATAAAGTTTTGAACGTTGTGTATTAGGATATTCTGTAGTAGGTATATTGACATAAGCATTGCACTTGTGCGAAGCCGCGGCGGATCGGTAGTTATAAATATACAATTTTTAAAGTCGACTGAAGGCTATTGCACACCTAACAAGTACGGCTCCGGCACGACTTCAAGCAAGCAATTAACGTGTCATTTAAACATGAACTTTAAATCGTGTGTCGTATGACATATTTCATAACGTCAATATAAAAAAGTTGTAAGCGCGCCGCCCGCGCGCCGACTGTGTGCTTACTACCTTTTTGTATTGTTTCCTAACCAAAAAATGCCGTTCCGGAGCCATGCCGGAGTCATGGTTATTACGTATGCGATGACATTAAGAGACTATGTATACAATTTAAACTGTCAAACACCAAGCGGTCACCGGTGACCGCAACCTATTGTTCTATAAATGTGTCTATAATGACGGTACTCGACGAGTTAAAAGCTAACTAAAATACTGACCGAGATCTGGGGACTTACTCTTGCACCCAATTCTGATCGATCGACATTGATATTGTAAAAATTTCATACTCTTAAGTTGTACCACTAACGCCCATTGGTATTGAGTTTGGCTATAGACTACGGATAGTCTGAATATTATTTTAACAGCCACGATAGGGGTTGTATAGTTTTGACATTGAATAATAATTGAGATTATATTGGATTGAAATTGCATTGACATTGGGATTGGATTCAAGAGTAAGCACCCTATATACCTGTCTTCTCTGATTAACCGTTAAACTGCGGTTTTTAATCCGTCCGCCAACCATGGAGATAATGGCAAAGCTTGTAGAGAGCCTGTAGAGACCTACAGTCCAGCTATGAACTGTCACAGGTATATTAATAGATAATGATGGTTGATGACGACATGTGGTTAGTCTCACTGATATGATATGTTATATTTATAAATCTATGGGTTAGTCTTCACTTGAAGTTTTTTTGGCGGATGCTCACCATAGTTTCATAGATTTACTTGGCTTAGCAAAAAGGTTTCATACTTATGGCGTCTATAATATTAAATCTAAAAGTGAACTTTTTTTATGGCATAAGCCGGTAAACAAGCAGAATGATCACCTGATGGTAAGCAATCGCCGTCGCTCATGGACACCTGGAACACCAAGGCGTTACAAATGCGTAGTGCGTGTGGAGTATTCGGGGATTCGGGAGACTGGGGGCTAATTGGGTCTCCGGTTACCTCACTCACACAACGAAACACAACGTAAGCGTTGTTTCACGTCAATAAGCCATCGGACCACCACAGATGAGGCCCAACAGGGCCGATGCCGATTCGGAGTCGCGGAGAACCTAACGGATTACCGGGGCTCCGGCTCGACATCACGGCTCACCCAGGAGGCGGGAGAAGTCATTCGATGATTTTCCCCCCTTAAAAAAAAGCGTTGTGTCACGTCGGTTTTCTGTGAGGCCGTGGCAACACTCCGATCGAGCCGGCTCATTCATGCCGAAGCATGGCTCTCCCACACTTAAAATCGAATATCGAAATGCAAAAAATATTTTACTTTCATTTCATCTATCAATTCATGCGATTCGATACAAACAAGCAAGCGCTTTTATATTCTACATATGAATTTACAAATATTTGCTCGTAAATGTCACTCGATACGCATCGCAATGGAAATATGAAATAAAATATTGTACAAAGATCTACCTACATTTTGTACAAAAAAAATTGCTATAAACGCTCAAGGTTATGGCTGCCATACATACTACGGTCCATTGGAAAGGTCCAAATGTGCAGATATGCCTCTGCAGGTAGACCGTAAAGTGTGTGCTAATAGATCTGTGCAGTTATTTAAGCCTACGCAAGCGACCGGCACAGAATCGAAAATCAAGTCTTTCTAGTGACACCGTGTGCCACAAAGATCTGAACACCGATCCAGTACATCCTAACAATTTTCAATCTACCTACGCAGGCATACCTGCACCGATGACCTCTCCGGGAGACTGTAGTGTATATGGCAGCCATTATGTACGAGCTTGACATATAAATTTGACATAATATTATATGAAAAGTAAGTGTCAATTTTATACAGTCGAACATTCTTAGTGTCAGACTGATAATGCATGCGAGTAACGTGATCTGGACTACCCTCGGACACCCGCATCACTAGATCGCCAAAAGCGTTTCAAGAGCGTTTCGTTTTGGAGGGAATTGCGGGTTTGGTCTCTAGTAACCTCACTCATACGACGAACCATAACGCAAGAGTTGTTTTATTGTTTTCTGTAGTGCCATAACTATCATATCACTCCATTGGAGTGTCTATGTGATTTCACTCATACCACAGTATTGTATTAAGTTGTAACCCAAAAACAAATGTAGACTGCAGGGTTGGTGCGGTGGCTGGGCAACCGGCTGCCGTGCAACGTGTCGCGGGTTCGATTCCCGCACGGAACAACACTTTGTGTGATCCACAAATTGTTGTTTCGGGTCTGGGTGTCATTGTATATATGTGAACTTGTATGTTTGTAAACGCACCCACGACACAGGAGAAAATCCTAAAGTGGGGCAACGTTTAAAAAAAAAAATCATTCTCATCATCAAAACATCCGTCCCTGTCATTCGTATATTAAAATGCAAATGAGAAAAGGAGACACGAAATGTCTTAGATAAAAATCAAGCTAAGAATTTCTATTTAACATAGGCTTCACAGATTTTTATCAAATCAAGTGTTCAAAGTCAAAAACAACTTATAATTTACATAAAAATCTTTCCTAAGTTCAGAACACAGCGAAAATAGACCTTATTTCTTCAATATAAATTTAAATTAGGTGCTCTGACATTTGACAATTAATTTTGTCGCTTAAGTCGATGGATCAAGATTGAAATTTGCTTGGATGTAGTTCAACGCCACGTATATTAGATCCCCGTCGTGTTCGTATAAGGAATTATGGTGTTATATTGTTCGATGTCGTTATTAAGTCTGATAAAATACATGGTTTATTTGAATATATATTTTTTTATGCGAAAATATGACTTATGTTTATCTTGTTATGGTACAATATTCTTAATATTTATTTTTTTTGAGGGGGGAAATCATCCAATGGCTTCTCCCGCCCGGGTGAGGCGGGAGGGAGTGTCAGACTCTTACTGACTAAAAACCACCCCGTTCCTACTCCTGCACTTCGAGCCGGAGCCCCGGCAACCCGTTAAGTCTTCCTCGGCTCCATATATTATTGCGATACGTACATACATGTATGGTTAACAGTAATAATGATTTAATTTGATATACTAATTTTATTAATATTTTATTTTATTAAAAAATTTTATTTTATAAATTTTATTAAAAAATAAAAATTTGAGACGGTAGACAGATGTCTACCGTCTCAAAACACAACTAAATGAAATATAACGTAAATTAATTGAAGAGGGCAAAACATCAAGTTTAATTAGTGTAACAAATGTTACCACTTGTCCCAAAATGCTACAACGGACAGGATAAGTAATGAATGCTTAAAATCTACTTCTACCCACTTTTAAAACATAAATATCATAATAAACATTCCAATATAAGAAAACCAGCTTTTTAGATATTATTCATATACTGCAACAGGTCATGTTATACTGGATACGTTAAGCATGTGCTTTTTTCAGTACTTCTACAAGTATAATGTAATTGAAACCTTGAAAACTTTCTTATATTACAGAATAAAATCAACAGTGCTACGCTTCGTAGCGAAAGCTACGAAAAGTACTATGAAAGTTATGCTATGCGCGTGCTACGAAAAGTGCTACGAAGGTAATGCTACGCGCCCTAGTGCTACGTTGCTACAATTTTAATACCCACATCAGTTTTAAAATACTATCTTTCTTTACATAAAATCCATAAAAAAATGTATGAATGAAATGTATTATGTAATAATGCCTCCTGTTCCATAAAAAAATACTCCATTCATTAATAACATCTTTAGTAGACCGTCTACAAACTAAAATTTTATAACTTGATTTTGAGTTATATTAAAAATGTCTCACCGGGTCCATCTCGTCTTCATCAGGAGTGTCCAGACTGGCGGAGTCCACAGGCCGGTAGCCGGAGCAGCAGGAACCATCGAATGGAGACCGATCTGATGCTCTGTGAACAAACATATAATATTTAAACTTTTTTGTGTTACATCGGCGTTAAGAAGACTCGTAGGAGATTGAAGTATAAAACGTCCAGGTTTATTAGGACAAGGAGCCTACTAACAGCTGGATTATTTTTAAGTTTTTAGTCCCTTACGGTAGAATTAAATACCCGTGGCAAGAGAAGGGGTGGTAGTAAATATTTTCTATTTTCCCGTAACTACAGGGCATTCTAAATAGTAGTTTCAATGTTTCCAACAATGGCGTCCAAAAAGGTGGAAATCCACGACTATACAATCAGTATAAAGGGCGGTACATACGCCACATCAAGCCATGCATAACCAGTATAAACTGACAGTCAAACATGCGGAAAAATCATACAAAGCAGGACCATGGTAATCTGGTTTTGTATAACTCGATTTGCGGCCTCGATTATACGTACTTGTGTTAATGTAAATCGACCTTAAAAGCCAGTGAACTGAGCAAAGATAAACACTTGATGACAGAAGAGAAGACGTAAACAATCAAGCTATTTTGTGTGTTAGTAGTATTGTAATAGGGGTTAGTTTAGTCACTAAATAATGTTGTACTAAATTCTTTTTTTAGTTTATGTCTACTGCCTTATTTAGTGATTATAATTAAGGAAAGGTCGTTGACTTGACTCCCGATTATGAAAACAAATTACGTTTTTGTAGGGCCATACCAGAGGCCTTAGTACGAGTTTGATTTACGTTTAAAGTATTCGAAACGAGTATGCGTTCGGCACTCTGATTGGCCACCTATGAAGCAATCTCCCTTAAAAAAAAAAAACAAAACACCTAAGCCTACATTTTCTTTTTTGCAATTACATTCTAATATCTGTATTGACTAGAATTTGTCATCTGACTAAGTTATGATTTAATCTAGCACGGATATCTTAAGCTGTTTTTTTTTTATTAACTCGTCGAGTACCGGTTTTGTAGACACAATTATAGAACAATAGGTTGCGGTCACCGGTGACCGCTTGGTGTTTGACAGTTTAATCTTATATTAAGCACTTTTGTATGCTCCAGTTCACCGCATTCCTACCCCTACTTCGTGGAGTAAGTACAGGGTGGTTTTCAGTCAGTAGGAGTCAGACGCTCTCTTACCTCACACAGGGTGGGAGAAGTCATTTGGTAATTTTAGCTCATGATGCATAAGCGATATGAATCAATATTCCTTGCTACATAATTCACAATTTCCACAAAGGTAACATTCAAGCACGTAATTTATGGGTACGTATGCGACTGCCAATGAAAGGACTATCAATATTAGCTTGCGTACATCGGATCCCTATTGTATACAGTTGCAATTTGTTTAATCAGAACATCATTAAATTTGGTACAAACGCTGCCCAGTCAATTTGCGACAGACCTAACAAACAGAATAGAAGCAGGCGTTATTTTGTGAAAATCTATACCAAACTAGTACAAACGGCTACACATCGAGCTTTATATAACTAGTATAAACTGAACGTTAAATGTGCGGAAAGATGATGTGACGCGACATCAGGATAAACTGGTTTTGTATAGATTGATGTGTGGCCGTGTGTACCTTAGAATTTTTTTACTTTTCTTTCTTTTTAAAAAAATCCACACCAGAATGTTCTCCTGTTTCGTGGGTGCGTTTACAAACATATAATTTCACTTGCACATGACATCCAGACCCTAAACAACAATTTGTTGATCACACATCACACAAAGAGTTGCTCTGTGCGGAAATCGAGCCCGCTACACGTTGCTCGGTAGCCAGTTGCTCAGATACCGTGCCAACCGTGCAGTCAGAAATAACATCTGATGAAGAAACAATGCCATTCCACATTATAAAGTAAACATGATTTATCGGTTGAAAGAGTCACCTTACATTAAGTTTGACTGCTGACAGAAAACTCTTGAAAGCAAATCCTCCGCTAACGTAGGTCACCGGTGACATACGCGGCGGTTAACGTGTTAAGAATCATATAAAATTAGGAAAAGCATAAGGAAATGAGCCTATTGCTACACATCCCTGTAATTTAGAAATCATACGAAGCTTGGCAGTTATACATCAGTCACTAACCCTGAAAGAAACCATATTATTTATACGTAAGATTATAGACACCAACTTTTGTCCTCGTTTCTCTGTACAGAACAACTCATATAAGTCGTACTGCGGTTGTCTCACAACCCTCACTTTATATGTATACTAGCACCCCGCCCCGGCTTCACACGATTGCAAATGCATGTTATTATACATATAAACCTTCCTTAAGAATCACTCTATCTATTAAAAAAAATCGTCGCACCTGCACCCACTTGGCCAGGAGAGCAGTCGGTATCCGCCGTCTGTCTGTCCCTATGTATGCTTAGATCTTTAAAACTACGCAACGGATTTTGATGCGGTTTTTTAATAGATAGAGTTATTCTTCAGGAAGGTTTATATGTATAAAACATGCATAATATAGAAACTGTAATAAATTTAGAGGTTTCTAATTGCACCCGTGCGAAGCAGGGGCAATATCCTTACTAATCCTTACTAATATTATAAATCGGAAAGTGAGTTTGTTTGTTCCGCTTTCACGCCGTAACTACCAAACCGATTGCTTTGAATTTTTGCAGATGTATAGTTAGAAGTCCGGATTAAATAATAGGTAGGTACTTTTTATCCCGGAAAAATTTGATATTCCCGAGGGAAAACAAAAGTATTGGTATAGATGGCGCTCTGTGTATTGGTTTATATATGTCACATTAGCTTTTTATCCTTTTGTGACGCGAGCGAAGCCGCGGGTAACAGCTAGTATTATATAAAAATGAAACCCGTTTCCCGTTATCACGCCATAACTTGAGAACGACTGGACCGATTTGGCGATGACCGATTTTTTTGTTGTATTTGTTATTGCCAGAAAAAGGTTCTTATGACAGAAAAAAATCCTGAAAATCCTACGGGAACGGCAGAAAACGGGATTGCGCGTACGAAGTCGCGGGCAGAAGCTAGTTCTTCAAAAAAGTAAGCATGACGATAATACATAATTGTTTCAGCGTCGTCTTCACTTCACGCATGAAACGCTTCAAGTTGGATAAAGTATCATATAACAGCATTCTAACAAACATGAATAATTCTGAACTCTCCTGAAAGTTTCAGTGTAACTCGTATTGTTTGTGGTTCTTTACTTTACCTGTTTTGATATATTTTAGGCTTGTTTTTATAGAAGAGGTAATAGAGTATATTTCTTAAAATTTTCGTGATACTTCACGCCTGTCTCCCATGAAGGTAGGCAAAGACTATGGAACGTCATTTGCTACGATTTTTACATACCTCTGTCGCTTCATCAACATAATTATTAAATTGATTATTATATCTAACACTGTAATATAGCGGGCTGTTGACGATAATACGTATTTGTTAATTCCAATTATCTATAACTGTCAAGTTATTACAGTAGAATACCTCGTTGGCCGAGTAGTCGCAAGTGCGACTGTCGGGCAAGAAGTCTCGTGTTCGAATCCCAGGTCGGGTAAAATATTCCCTACTGGTTTTTTTTAATTCTCAGTAGTAGCACGGGGTCTGGAATTGTGCCCGGTATATGACAGTAGGCTCATAACATAAATAGTGAAAAGTTACATTGTACAGTGGCATTAAGTGCCGAAATGTGCACCTCTAACCTACCCCTTCGGGGATAAAAGGCATGATGTTATATTGTGTAAGTTTAGTAATTTTATATTTCTATCAGCACAATAAATAATTTACCCAATCACAATACGGCTATATTACACAAAACAGCAATTACATCGAAATATGAAAACCGCTTTATATCATCACTTTTATTATAAAAAGGATCAGTAACAGATGTAGAATTGTGTTAGACATTCTATCTATTTCAATTTGAAGCGCTTTAAGCGTATTCAGTTTACTTAATTCGTGTTATAACTAATTTTGGGTGAGACGAGCTCTGCGGAGATTTAATTTCGAGTCTAAAGGTGAGTGATGTGGTTATATTTTGTGAAGAGTAAGTTATGAGAATGTTTGGTGCTGAAATTAAACAAAACTATGTTGTTTGAATATAGCAAACCTTAAATTAAGTAAAATCGCGGGTTACTCACGTGAATATACTGAGAAAAGCTCTACTAGTTTCGAACCACAGAGGGGTTCTTCCTCATGAGCAGCGTAGAGCTTTTCTCAGTATATTCACGTGAGTAACCCGCGTTTTTACTTAATTTAGTATGTCTCACGATAGTTATTATAAAAACATAGCAAACATTGTCGTAACAAAAATTCTTGATGATATATTACACAATTCTCATCTCATCTTTTAATTTCCTGAAAGGAGGTAAACACAGGAAATATACAATGTTACATCCTCACATAAAATTATGTTAAGTACTATGTTTATAGAAATAAGGGGGCGTCCATAAATTACGTGGGTTGTTTTTTTTTATTGTCTGTCCCTCCCCTCTTGGTGAGATTTCGTGAAGTTTTATTCAAAATCCTCCACCATCACCCAATCTGACGTGAGATTTTTCAAAATGTTGGTTTTTCACGTAAACGCGTTGGATTTAGTTTTGCAAAAAGAAAAAAAAATCCATGTGCGTCTACAATTAAATCTTAAGCATGTACACACGGCTACACATCGAGCTTTACATAACCAGTATAAACTGAACGTTAAATGTGCGGAAAGATGATGCGACGCGACACCAGGATAAACTGGTTTTGTATAGATTGATGTGTGGCCGTGTGTACAGAATTGGTGTCTGGAATAAATAAACTATGAAGTCGGTAAAAATAGCATATTTTATTTTATTACTATCAGAAAAAATTACGTGATATTTGCCGAGACCCCCACTCTCCAACGTAAGATAAGATGAGATTTGAGTCTACCCCCTCCCCCCCCCTTAAACATCACCTATGACACAAGATTATCCTATTACAGGCACCTAACCATGTGAGATCTATTTTACTTACCTAATTAATATTTTTGTATCTGTGTCCATTTACATTTCTGAATAAAGGTTAAAAATCTTATATTAAGAGTATCATGTAAGTACATAAGAAGTATTTAAGAAAGATCTTCTTCTTGCCCTACTTTTGTTTAAGAGCATGAAACTCTCTCTCTCGCTTCACCCACCCACTTTGATAATTTACATACAAATCATCATATTCTCAGTACAATTTTAGTGTTTTGAATTGAGCTGATAAGAGTCGTAGAAAAGGGGTATAAAAATAAGCTAAAAACT